TGGCCTACCTTAGCCAGAATCATGGTTGTGTCATATTCTCTCCATATTTAATGAATGTATTTGCACTTTGAAGGATGTTCAAAGCTGGAGATCTATAACCAAACCATGACTGGTGATTGGACTGGTTCTGAAAGTTGCTCTTTGTGTTGCTGTTTGTTTAGATTTGCTTTCCAACAAATTATGAGATCTTCAAGAAACACATGTATGTATTTTAAGATCATATGACACTTTAATTGAGCCAAGGTGGCTCCATGCAATCAATTATGTGACTTCTAAAGGCAATTGATCACAGTGGAGCTTATTTAAGGGTTTCACAACAAATGGGACAAATACTTGTGCAATCATTTTTTAATTATTATTATTATTAGTAAATAACTTCAACATTTTGGATGTCTATGGGCAACATTTTTTTGTGTTCGGTAATAATCCGTGTTTAAATGAGCACAAGCAATGCTATAGAAATGTTTTATCAAATATATATAATATACAGTAAGTATATATTCTTATATACAGAAGACATTTAAGCCGCCACTTTATTTAGCTTGTCAGAATCTCGTTGTGCACTATCCGCCATCTTCTCCTGTAGGGCTGACCTTGTGTGACCCGTCACTCCCTCCGACATCTGGCACAATCGCACATTCCTGCGATTGCAGTTGTTTTTGGAAGGCATTCGCATTGTCTTGCTCCATCTCCTCTGCTTCCCGCTGTCTGGATCAGCTCGCCTCCTGCGGCAGGAAAGTGACCGCAGAGTTTGGGGCTTTTCATGCTATTGGGAATGTGAAACACTGCTCCCCTGTGAATGCTTCCTGAAGAGTGAAGCAGCTGGGAAAGCTTCCAGAGAATGATCAGAGTAGAGTCTTGTAATATGTTATCCATTGATTGATGCAGAAAATTTGGAGTTTAAATGATGTCCTTTATTGGCTACCTTAAGTTATTAAAGTGGACCTTGCTTGAAAATGGAAGGCTCGCTTATTTGGTAGGCCCTCCCCACCCTCAGATTAAATTATGTTCAGTTAAAGTAGTTTTAAGGCCTACCTAAATAACATTGAGAAACCGATTTATAAATGTTCCACATACGCTGGGCGAATGCCACTTACCCGACATTATGGTCAAAGAATGGAGCAGAGGAACATAGGAATACACTGTGCTCCTCAGCTTTATCTAGTGGTGGGACTGCTCGGCCGAAGATTTATATACTGGTCCCTACATGTGCGCTGGGCATTGTGTATCATCATTTTTAGTTAATAAAAACACTGTTTTTATCTTTTTTCCATTGCTTGTTACACATCAGCGCTGCTGATATCTTGCAGCCATGTCGTGTCTGCATGCACTCCAGTGATGGCTTCAGGGCAGGTTTCCTTTTAGTGATAGCTGTGGACCAGGCCTGTGTAATGTGTGTTGAAATGACCAATTGTAGCCTCTATTGGAAGCCCGTGTGACAAGGTGACAGGCCAGAAGGACAACTAGGGGACATGGACAGAGCATTGTCACCCTTTAACAAGTAGTGCCTGAACAAGGACCTTCATTGGAAGATCACCAGGGCTTATTTTAATGAAATTTTCAGGTATAAAAAGACTGGATGTGAGTTTTGGAATGACTGTTAAAGCTTCTCTGAGATGTTAATGATTGGGTTTACATCTACTTTAGAGAAAAAATTGTAAAAGAAAAAAAAACTTACACCCAACTTCTAGACAAGGATGAAATTATTGGCCATTTTTCCAAATCCTGGGAAAGCAGAGTACTGGGCCCAAATCCATTGAGAATGTGTCCCAGTACTGGATTTAGGGTCCCCAGATTTCTCAGGATCCAATGAGAAGGGTATGGGGCATTTTCTTCTTTTTCATCTGTTTCTAATTTCGTTTTTTCTTGACCCTGGAGCTCCTTGTTTCTGGGAGTTTCTAATAAAAGATTACTTAGTTCCTCTGCTATGCAGTGGATTGTTCTCAAAGGTTTTGGTGTCTGATGTTATCATGTTGGCATTTTATTTACAAGCGACAGGTTTGTAAGTTCATTTAGTTGACCTTTTCCCCCAGTAATGCATTTTTCAGCAGCTGGCAGATGTAGAGAAGCAAGTTATGTGATCAGCAACTGCTTTGACAGAGAGAGACTCGGAGTGAGCAACAGTCCATTGCTATGCCCTGCACTAGATGCTCTATGCTTCTCTCTAGGTGGGATTATCCTTGTAATAGGATAACATCATGTTCTGATTTGGGTTTTTGCTTGTTTTCTTACTGGAAGAATTCCACCTCAGAACAAACGGCTTCTTGTAGATTACAGTTCTGGAGCAGTGAAATCAGATTTTGAGATTTCTTTTTCCCATTGCAGCCTCTTTGGCAAAACAAAACACAACTCGTGAGGTATTACAATAATAAGTCCAACGGTTCCCCCAGGGGCTCTGATGAAATAAGCTCCCTGCCGTAGTTCCTAGTGCTGTTTTTGCTGATCTCTTGCACTTTCAGGTGTTCTGGCCCATGTTGAGGTGTTCCCATATTTTTTGTTCCATCTGTTCCATCTTTGTTGCTCATTAGTATAAAATGCATACCAATCTATCAGGGGTGGTGGGACCAGCTTTGGATGGAGTGGAGAATGGTATAGAACCCCTACCAGGTTTTTTATTGCTTCTGAATTGGGATGGAGGAGCACTAGACTCAAAGCTTGATGGAGTTCCAACTAAATTGAATGATTACTATAGTGTGGCAGCTCTTTATTACTCGGTGGAGCCCCAATAGGGTTACTGGGAGAGTCAGTTTGTTTAAAGAGAAAGGATGAGATGAACGAGGGATTGGCCTGATATCAATTTTGTATTTGTCATTATACAAGGATCTATCAAAAGTTGACAGCTAACGGGTTTTGTGGGTCTGTCTTATGTAGGACCTTTAAAACATGTTGGGTCTTAAAATCTTGATAGACCCTTTCACTGTGACAAATAATCTGTACAGCCTGGCACTCTTGTTCTTTCTCTCCATAAAAGATTATGATTGCTGTCTGTGCCACTACTGGGAAGATTCACCAGCTCAATGTATCCTGGTGACCTTTGCCTTCCAATGGGGACACTTGTTCTTTTGACTATATGTGTGCTTTTTTCACTCCACAGAATGGAGAGTCTGGCTGCCGGCATGCCCCGAAGTCTAGGGGGAGGATGTGTGACCATTAGGTTCCTTCCTCCCCTGAACCTGTAGGTCACTCTTTGGTAGAGTCCCCAACCTAGTACTCGGTGGTCAGCTTTGGCTGACCATGAGGAATGGGTCTGCCTGGTTTTAGCCAAGTGGACATGACTGCCTTGCCCCTGTCAGGAGCCTTGCACCCGGGGCGCGGGGGGTCAGGAAAGGACTCTATCTCTTTGGGAAATGGACCAGTTAACGCACCCTAGTGGACTTTTTTTGTTTGTGGTCACACAATTTTTTTGTTTACTATGGTGTTTATAGTTTGAGCACACACTCAGGCATTCAATAAAAAACTGTCTCACTGGCTCTTGCTTGCTCCTGTTGATTTCAGCTCTTGAGCTAGTGTTAGTTTTATACACTTGGCACATGTAACAGTTTTTTTATTTTTTTATTACTAGCATCTGCTAAAAGCAGGAATATGTCAGTTTTCAGATGGGAATTTTGCCTGCTGCGTGCTCTGCGCAGTGACAGAACGTTATCTCTGTTTGTATTCCTGGGAGTGCCGCTGTTAACAGGCCGCAACAAGGTCGTTTCCTTTTTGTTGACTCAGTTATATATTTTTCCCCTCTGTACAGGAGAACATTTGACTACTCACTGCGAAATATTAAAGGAACAGAGGGCGAGGATTTTGTATTGAGGGGTCATAACAGATACTGTGATTTCACCAGAGTGTAAAGGATGTGCAATAGTCATAGCAAAAGAACTGGAGTTTCTTTAACAGTGGCTTCTGTGTAACTCTGACCCTATTGTTGTATCATACAGATATACTGTATATGTTATGAGAGGCAAACACAGAATGAGCAGACAGTATGAAACAAGGGAATAGAGTATCACTGCCCACCTCATACACTATTGACTGGCCACTCTGTCACTTAGCTACAACTACTGAGCTGTAACTCCACCACCTCTTCACTGTGCTTTAGTTACATTATATCATTGCTGCCATTCGATCTCAGAACTGAACTTTAGCCTCCTGACCACATACTATTGGCTGTCCTCTGGGTCACCCATCAATAATAGGCTCCCAGTCCTGATTTGTTCCTGTGCTTATGTTACACTGTATTATTTCTGAAAGCTGTCATTTGGTTCACCCTTCAGTGATAGACTTCTAGTTTCATTTGCCCCCTTCTTCCCTTGTGCTTATGTTACACTGTTTTATAACTGAAAGATTTCCCGGGGTTACCCATCAGTGATAGGCTTTTAGTCCTGAGTTGTATCTTCTCCCTTCTTCTCCTGTGGTTATGTTACACTGTTTTATTATTGAAACCCTTCACCTAGGTTACCCATCAGTGATAGGCTTCTAATCCTGAGTTGCATCTTTCCCCTTTTACCCCTGTGCTTGTTACACTATGTCATTGCTGGAAGCTTTCCCCTAGGTTACCCATCAGTGATATGCTTCTAGTTCTAAATGGTATCTTTTCCCTTTCCCCCTGTGCTTGTTACACTGTATCATTGCTGGAAACATTCCCCAAGGTTACCCATTAGTGATAGGTTTCTAGTCCTAAATTGTATCTTTTCCCTTTACCCCTGTGCTCATGTTACACTGTATCATTGCTGGAAACTTTCCCAGAGGTTACCCATTAGTGATAGGTTTCTAGTCCTAAATTGTATCTTTCCCCTTTTCCCTGTGCTTAGGTTACACTGTATCATTGCTGTAAGCAGAACTTGCAGTGTTTATGCTCATTATTTAAATGAATTGAATTGTCAGACACTGATGAGAAAAACACACACCTCGGTCTGATGTGTTACCTGCCAGTCAGGGCTGGAGGTGCGTCTTTCCTTGTCTGTCGTTGATGGCACAACATGTAATAAACAAAATCTTTTTCTCTGTTTCAGGCATCGGAAATCACCATTGAGCTGACCACCTCGCCCAAAGAAAAGCCTGACCCGAGCACTCTGGTCTTCGGCACGGCGTTTACTGATCACATGTTCATGGTCGAATGGTCAGTGGCCAAAGGATGGGAGAAGCCGACCATCAAGCCTTTCCAGAACATTCCCATCCACCCCGCCTGCTCTGCACTTCACTACGCCATCCAGGTGAGTGGGGGGACCACAAATGGCGCTTCTTGGCTGCTGCATACGGTCAGCGGCCACTTTATTAGGTGCATCTATCTGGTATCGATATAGAGACAAGCGGTTTAGAATGAATACAACCTTTTTATGGCACATTTAATGCTTTGGCATGAAAGACTTGATAATTTAAAGGGTTAGTCACAAAAGGGTGACGAGTTTGGAGGAGGCAGGAGAAGTGAATAATCTAGGACAACATAGCTGAACTGGAAAGCTGAATTGTAGAATTTTTCCGAATCGGCTATTTTGGCCTAGATCGTTCACTTCTCCTGCCTTCTCCAAACTCTTCACCCTTTTGTGAATAACCCTGTTAGTATTAAAGCTGAATGAAAATATATATTTAATCGATTTTTATAAACCCAATCAGTGTTAGTACCTGGATCTGACCTGGTATTAGTCTCTTCAGTCCTGTTCAGGATAGCTTAGACTGCGAAAGGGAGAAGCAGCACAGAGAGTCAATCAGTTCATGCACTGACAAGGAGAATACTGATGGGAGGAGAGAGCAGAGCGGCACAGATGAACTTATTACTGTGCTGCTTTTGCTTTTACGGTCTATTCACAGGCTGGTAGTGGGTCCAAGGTGACCTGGGCTCAGAGGAAGTCGGTTGAATGTTGCTGACCATCAGACTAAGGGAATCTTGTGGTGGAAAAGAAGCACTGCAGGGGTAGAGCCCAGCAATGAGAGTAAATATTGCAACAAACGCTGTTTTTTAGTTTATATATTTTTTTGGTCTTGGTAGTTTTGGTTAGAGTTCAACCTTGAGGCTAGGTTCATACCTGCACGACACCCAGGGCCGCGCGATCATGTGCTAGTGCACAGCGATTGCCGCGAGGCCCCATTGATTTCAATGGGGTGACATCCGCGCGGCAATCGCTAAAAAAAGGTACAAGTACCTTTTTTTGCTACTCACTTTTTTAGGGGGTGCCTAAAAAATAATGGCACCCAGAGCGCGATTGGTTCACATCTTAGCGACTCCCGACTGCGTGAAAATCGTGCACAAGACCACAAGAATTGCCGGTCAGGAGTCCCCTAGGTGTGAACTTAGCCTAAGGGGCCAAAAAAACATTGTCCGCATTGTTACTCCACCAGTCTGACGCGGTGAGATTAGACAGGGCAGGTCTGTGTGTATGGCAATGTTTTTTCCTTTCTGACCCAGTTAGAGTGCGGAAATAGAGGGTACAGCCAGGAAACCGGCATTTCCAGGAGCTCAGCGTAGGAGAACTTCTTGAAAATCCCTGAATCTTGTGCAGTTTTATCCTATTTAGATCACGTTTATTTTTAGCCATAAGCTGCTCCTGGAGCCGGCGTGGTGATGTTAACCCTCGTGGTGGGTTGTGTTGGGGCTTTCACAGTGGGAGGATTGTTACTCCTCGCTGGTATGGATCAGCATTGTTGGTCCATGTGAGGTCATGCTCAGATTGTTGTCCATAAGTATGTGGAGCTGATGTACATCTACAAACTGCCCATTTTAGAAGCAAATCCCTTTGTCCCTCTTTTCTCACAACTGGCCCTCTTTTGGGTCTAATCAAAATACATATATCATGATACATATTCAAATATTTAAGGTGTAGGTATGGTCTAACCTTTCTACGGCTTTTGGTAGAGTAGGGAAGGATTCGAGAGCCCCTGCTAAGCTATGTGGGTCGGCATAGCCCCTTGTTGTCTTTACCAGGAGCACATGTGACAGGGTGACAATGCAAGTGCACAACTGGGAGACTGGGACAGAGCGTTGTCACCCTTTACCAAGAACTGCCTGAACAAGGACCTTCGTGGCAGGATCACCAGGGATTACTTTGAATGAAAACTGCAGATTTGAAAGGATTGAAAATGACTTTTGGAATTACAGTAACTTGTTAAAGTTAGAGACTTTAGAGCTAAAATAACTTATTTATTTTGAATTCTTCTTCCTGTACATTATCTGCCATACTGTTCATTCTCCACTGAAATGACAGTCTGCTGTGCTGCAGTTACTTTATGATTATGGAATCCTTTGTATCGCTTCTGTACTTCATGCACTCATTGCATGATGATGTCATTTGTATCTCTTCTTTACATTGTATCCCATGCACTCATTGCATGATGATGTCATTTGTATCTCTTCTTTACATTGTATCCCATGCACTCATTGCACGATGATGTCATTTCTATATTTTCTATACATTGTATCCCATGCACTCATTGCATGATGATGTAATTTCTATATTTTCTATACATTGTATCCCATGCACTCATTGCACGATGATGTCATTTCTATATTTTCTATACATTGTATCCCATGCACTCATTGCATGATGATGTCATTTCTATATTTTCTATACATTGTATCCCATGCACTCATTGCATGATGATGTCATTTCTATATTTTCTATACATTGTATCCCATGCACTCATTGCATGATGATGTCATTTCTATATTTTCTATACATTGTATCCCATGCACTCATTGCATGATGATGTCATTTCTATATTTTCTATACATTGTATCCCATGCACTCATTGCATGATGATGTCATTTCTATATTTTCTATACATTGTATCCCATGCACTCATTGCATGATGATGTCATTTTTATCTCTTCTGTACCTTGTAGCCCATGATGCCATCAGTATATCTTCTGTACATTGAGTCCGTAGCACTGATTGCATATTGATGCAATAACCTTTATCTTATCTCCCTCAGTTGTTTGAAGGACTGAAGGCTTATCGTGGTGTTGACGGTAAGATCCGATTGTTTCGGCCTCAGATGAACATGGATCGAATGCTGCGTTCTGCCATCAGAATGACTTTGCCGGTATGTGAGAAAGAATGCAGCTCAAACACATTTTATATGACGTATCTATTTTATTACATTGCAGTCAAATACCCTCCCAGCATTAGCCCTCGGCCCATGAAAATGTCTTACAGACCAGAAAACAGATCAGACTTGTTGTTGCTGACATTTGTGTGTAAAGACTTGCAGAGAATGTAAAATATGTCAGTCTATCTCCTCAATTATTATACTTCTGTGTGGTGGTTATCACTGTGCTTAAAGGAGGAACTTATCCTTAAAGTGACAACAAAGGCACCTTTAGAAACATTCAATAATGGCAATTTACTTATAGATAATTGCAGACTTTTTATTCTTTGCAGACCTTATTTTTTCGTCTTCCTCCCCATTCTTCCCACGATCAGGGCCAGATTTCCCACAAGGCCAACGGAGGCCCGGCCTCGGCAGGGAGCAGAGGGGCGGCAGGGATTCTTATTGCCCCATGCTCAGGACATGAAGTTCCGGTCGCCGGACTGTTAATCGTTTTATGCATTTAGCTCTGCACAACCCACCACGAGGGTTAACATCACCACGCCGGCTCCAGGAGCAGCTTATGGCTAAAAGCAGAGCTAAATGTACAGCGCAGCCTGCTCGTCCATCCTCCCCCAAACTCCCAAACCCTCCCGCCCTGCTGGGTACCTCTCTCCCTGCTGGTGATATTCTCTTCAGGATGGAGAGCGGGGAGCAGGCCCTTCCCTGCTCTGCTCTGTGTATACAGTGAGAGGGGAGAGCTGCACTGGCAGCCTTCCCCTCTCAGCTGTCACAGGAGTTCCAGCACAGTACTGTGCTATAACTCCTGTATTGGAGGTGACAGGGTCAATAAAGAGAACCTGTCACCTTTAACTGCTATCACACAGGTGCTTGTTAGCTCCTGTGTGATAGAAATAAAGTTAAGTGGGAAAAAAATATTACATTAAAATAACAAATTGATACAAAATTATAAAATAAATAAAAATTAAGAAAAAAAAGTAAAAAAAATAACAATAAAAATAAAAAGGTGATAAACTAAAAACCTAGAACTCTAGGTCTGGCTCCTGGAAGATGTGACATCATCTCATGGGAAAAGGGAAAAATGCCTTTCCTCCTGAGATATGGTAAGATTTTACAGTTTACGGATGAGATTTCCCCGGAAGGAACTGGTGATGTCGCCTTCCTAGGATGCAAATGGGAGTCCAGGGCTACATCCCCAGTGCCTCACCCAAACAGGAAGTGAAAAAACAGTTATTGTAAGTGAAAGAAAAATATGTTAGTTTGCTTTTGATTGTAAGATGATTTCACACCAGCAGGCAGAGCTGCATTCTGATGTGATTTTTATTAAAGGTCCTCTAGTAGCAGATCTTCATTCTGGTAAGGCTGGCCTATGGGCTTGTTCACTATATGGCTTTTATGGCCATTTTTGCATTCTTGGCAAGCAAATTCTGACCCAGAATGAAGTTTGGTTGAGGTCCTAAAGCCACAGGACAGACATCAGTTCTGCTGTACAGGTTTTGTTTACTGCACTCATGCATGCAACGCAAGGAGTGTGATTATACACATCCACATTCTCTGTATACCTGCTGAGCACCTGACCTGACTTATTTGTTGCTGGTGATGTAAAAATGTCTACTGTCTTCTGACCAGAACAAAATGTTGGGAGTCTCTCATACTAGGCACAGGGGGGGATGATGAGAACCCCTCATAATGGGCACAGTAGATCTGCAGACCTGGGAACTCAGCACAGGGATGGTGGGAGCCTCTCATAATGGGCACAGCAGGTGGTCAGACCCAGGAACTCAGCACAGGGATGGTGGGAGCCCCTTATAATGGGCACAGCAGGTGTACAGACCTGTGAACTCAGCATAAGGATGGTGGGAGCCCCTCTTAATGGGCACAGCAGGTGGGCAGACCTAGTAACTCAGCTCATGGACCGTGGGATCCCCTCATATTGGGCACAGCAGGTGTACAGACCAAGGAACTCAGCACAGAGATCGTGGGAACCCCTCCTATTGTGCACAGCAGGTGTACAGACCTGGGAACTCAGCACTGGGATGGTGGGAACCCCTCATAATGAGCACAGCAGGTGTACAGACCCGGGAACTCAGCACATGGTCGGTGGGAACCACTCATATTGTGCACAGCAGGTGTACAGACCCCGGAACTCAGCACAGGGACCATGGGAACTTCTCATAATGGGCACAGCAGGTGTACAGACCCGGGAACTCAGCACAGAGAAGCTGGGGACACTCATAATGGGCACAGCAGGTGTACAGACCCAGGAACTCAGCACAGGGAAGCTGGGGACACTCATAATGGGCACAGCAGGTGTACAGACCCCGGAACTCAGAACAGGGAAGTTGGGGACACATAATGGACACAGCAGGTGTACAGATCCGGGAACTTATCAAATTGATTTCATCAATAAAGACCCCAAGAGATAGAAGACCTTCAAGTGTTTTTTCATTCTCCAACATCCACCAATCATGGACCGACCCTTTACATTTAGTTTGATTTTAAAAATTCCTAAAACTTCTTGTGAATGATATTCAGAGCTCGTTCACATCATTTATGTTTAGTTGTCCTTTAGCAGTGATTGTAAACCGTGTTTTACGACCGTGAGATTGCTGACAGGAAGTTGGCTGCACGCAGGAAAATATCTTCCTTCCCGGAGACCTCTAACCTAAATTCAATTTGTGTTTCCAGCCTTTCGATCAGAAGGAGCTTCTGGAGTGCATCAAGAAACTGATAGACGTGGAGAGAGAGTGGGTGCCAAAGTCCACCGATGCCAGTCTGTACATCCGTCCCATGTTTATCAGCATGGAGGTGAGAACCCGTCCTGATTGGAAGCCATGGTCAGGGTTTAGCCAAACTGTACAGGATTATGGATGTGACCAATCGTAGCAGTGTGTGACGGTTGATCGGGGGTCTCTAGGATCCATTTAATTGATTTTTCCAAAAAAACATTTGTTGCTTTTATTCACTGAAGCTATTTTTATATTTACTTGCAATTGATCAATATTGGAAGGTTAGGAATCCCTAATGGAAGATTTTCCCTAACTTCCTGTTGTGGTGACAACTGTAATCTTTTGGATTTTCCAATACTTTGACAATGGTCACCAGGACACAAAGGGAGGGTGAATCTTCCCAGCATGGACACGGGCAACAATAAAAGCTTTTCAGGGGTTCTAATCCTTCCATACAATTTGATAGAGATGCACATGGTTTGGGCTAGAGATACACAATAAATATGAAGTTTAACCAGCTTATATTTTGGCTTTTCTTGATTCCCCCCTCATCAATATGCTAATGGAATTTTAATATACAATCTTTCCATTTTCATGACATACCTCAGATTAGACCCAGTGACATCATCACTGGGCCTGTGTGCTTCTCTGTGAAATGCAGTCATATCATGGCTGGTAAAAGGGGCCGTCAGGGTGCTGTACATAACTTCCTAAAAACATCACAGCCCCCTGCCTCAGTACTCCTTTCAAGATTCCTCAGCCCTGATGCAAGCAGTGGGCTGGCTCTTGGGAGGAGTTATGCAAATTTCAAAAAAACCTTGATGGGTGGATGTCAGTCTGGAGGAGTGAGCGTCCCTAAGCAGACTGCATTTGCCTCCTGAGCGCCTGAGGTAAAGCTCACATGTGATGCTGAGCCTCCATGATTGGAAAGACTGAAATCAATTTAATGTAAGGGGCGGGCCAGAGACAGTCAGGCCGGGGAGGAAAGTGTCAGATGTTGCTGGATGTCCTCCAGGCAGGAAATTAGTTGGGATCTATCTGACTTGCTGCAAATTCTAATGCACATTGTGAGAAGCTCGCAGTGTGCAGTGAAATCAGAGTGAGGGGAGGAGCCGATACACTGTGCAAAGACTGAAGGGAAGGAGTTCAGCTTTAGGAGATCAAGTATGATTGGTTGTTCCCGGTTACTGTATATGTCAGCGCTATTCCATCATCTCAGATGACATCAGAGTTTTTCTCATGTCTGCAGCCCTCTCTAGGTGTGAAGAGACCGTCCAAGGCTGCAATCTTCGTCATCCTCAGCCCGGTCGGGGCTTATTTCCCAAGTGGGGCTTTTAATCCAGTGTCACTGTGGGCCAATCCGAAGTACGTCCGCGCCTGGAAGGGAGGCACCGGAGACAGCAAGCTCGGAGGGTGCGTGTTACATTGTAATAACTTGAAGCTTCCGTCCATATTCGCCGTGATGACCTCAGTGCGTCGCATAGTTCTGTGTTGTTGGGTCAGGGGTCTCTGTAAAAATCAGTGAACGCTCTATGGGGTAACCAAACTCCGGCCCTCCAGCTGTTGTGGAACTACAAGTCCCATGAGGCATTGCAAGACTCTGACAGCCACAGACATTACTCCCAGATGCATCATGGGATTTGTAGTTTCACTACAGCTCTGGGGCCAAAGTTTGCCTATACCATACCTACAATCCTTGCCCTGCATTGATGAAGTACTTTAGTTATGCTCCTTTAACAATTATGCAGGACCTGGGTCAGTCTCATTTTAAAGAAGAACTCCTGGCACACATTTGATTAACCCTTGCAGTGGGGCTACCCCGGCATTGCAAGGGTTAAGCAGTCATTTTGTTTTAGGGGGGGTCAAATAAAAAAGATATACTCCCCTGATCCCTGGTCCCACGGCTGTCAGCGATCACCTGCCGTCCCCTCAGCTCCGGCTGTGGAATGTCCCTAGGCATCCTCACGTCCAAAGCAAGTCAATGGACTGTATAAGCCATGATGACGTCAGCGGTCATTAGACTGCAGGAGCCGGGGGAGGAGAGGCTCAAGGGATCCGTATAGCAGCCAGGTGTGACCGAGGATCAGGTAATTAAATCTGCTTTATTTCACAGCCGAGACAAAATTGGCACTTAACCCTCGCAGTGCGGGGGTAGCCCCATTGCAAGGGTCATTTTTTTTTAATTGTTCCCGGATTCTCCTTTAATGTGGCGAAGAGAAAATGATCTCACGTATTAGACTTCCTGTGAAACATGATTACCATTCGCAGTCCACTGATCTGATCTGGAACTGTTACCTGTTCTGTCCCCAGGAATTACGGGAACGCCCTGTTTGCTCAATACGAGGCTCAGGATGCCGGCTGTCAGCAGGTCCTCTGGTTATATGGGGAGGATGAGCAGATCACCGAAGTCGGGACCATGAACCTCTTCCTGTACTGGACAAATGAAACTGGAGGTAGGTTATTCCTTTCGCTGCTGGAAATACTATCTGCCTGGCTGTCACTGCTCTTCAAAGCTGAACCCCAGGCAGATATAAATACACATATTAATGTAACTGTATTCATTAATACATTGATATTAGGGATGTACCGATACCGTTTTTTTGGTATAGAGTGCGATACCGAATACCGATACCAGAAGTCCCATTAAGGAAGCCAGGTGGTCTGTAATGACGCGCCACCTGGCTTCCCGATTAGCAGGAAAACCATCTCAATGCTCCCTCGTCACTTGTGACGAGAAAGCATTGAGCCGGCTTTCTGGCTAATCAGGAAGCCGGGCGCCGTTTAATGACTCCTGATTGGTCCAGAAGCTAGCCAATCAGGAAGCTGGGCAACACGTCATTACACGCCGCCCAGCTTTGATTGGCCTGGGAATCTGACTCCATGCTCTCTCGTCACCAGATAACGAGGGAGCATGAAGCCAGTTTTCTTGCCAATCAGAAAGCCAGGGGGTGTGTAATGACTCGCCGTCCGGCTTCCTGATTGGCCAGCTTCCTGACAATCAGGAAATTAGGCAGTGAGTCATTACATGCTGCCCGGCTACCTGATTGGCCGGGAAGCCAGCTCCATGCTCCCTCGTCACAAGTGTAATGACTCGCTGCCTAGCTTCCTGATACCGGAAGCTCAAGTATCGGGCTAGGCATCTGAGCATTTGGGCAAGTACAAGTACTCGGCCAAATACTTGGCATCAACACCAATACCGATACTACTATCAGTATCGGTGTATCCCTAATTAATATGTGTATATCAGTCTCTTGCAATTCCTGAACAGCAAAACTCGTGCGATCAATGCACTGTACCGTGCAACTCACCTACTGTGCATGTACTCCTTTTTTTTTTTTATAATTCTTTATTTTGTAAGGCACGAACATCCATACAGAAACATTGCATACAGTCTGCCAACAATATAAATCTAGGCTCACAGTGTGCGGTGTTAATATCAGGTTCGATCTCATATGTATGGATTCCATAACTTTTCCATTTAGGCAACATTGATAACATTAACAATAGTAATAGGGTACAATAGGCTTCGGACCCCAGCATAAATAGGTGTTATGTGCTTCTCTCCCTGAGTTGCCCCATGCATGGTTGTGGCTCGGATGTCCCCTCCCATCCCCACCCGAGTATTGTAACATGGTGATCTGATCTATGGAGTAGTGAGCGGTGACGACAGGTAGCTGACTTGTACTCCTTTTTTTAATTGCATCACAAAGCACAGTATTGTGGTTCCATACTCAGACTGGGGAGGGAGAAACAGCACAAGGAGCCAATCAGTTGTACTGCAGTTCATGGAATATGCTGATAGGAAAAGAGAACGGAGTGACAGAGAGTTTCACCCATGACTGTGCTGCTTCTCTTTCACTGTCCAGTCATAGGCTGGGTGCCGGTCCAAGCAGCTGTTAAATGAGCATTAAACATGCAGCAGATTTTTTGATTGGTGTCAGGTGGGAAAAGAACAACAGAACTGATACTTTGTTTCTTTATGTATACACCTTTTATATCCCAATCATCTTCGTGCATTAGGTGATCATTCAATTGTCATGAAATAATGTGCAGAGAGTAACTTTATTGTAGAAGATGTGTGTGTGTGTGGCAGAGAGCGCAGATCCGGGTGAGGGCAGATGGTCGGAAGACAAATTCATTTCAAATCCAATTTAGGGCTTAAATGTTACTACAGAAAATAAGAGAAAAGAAAAGAGTACAACACATTAGATTTTGGGAGTCTGGTAAATATTTCCCTCATTGTTATCATAATAGAAGTCAAAGCCGAAGTCTAGAAACTACCCTTGAAGTGAAGCCCTTCCACCCTGCAAGGGGGAAATGCTCGTTCTTATCTAGGGGTAGAGGAACAAGGTTCAATGACTTTGTAGTACAGGGGCCCGAGTGGATGCAGACTGATTGGATAGTTTATCTAGGTCCTCATATTATATAGTTTTGGTTGATTATGCCAATGGTCAAATTGTAACATGCATGGTGACCCTCACTCTCCTCTTCTGAAATACTTTGTGCTGCTGTGAGATATTAGTATATAGGATGATCCTTTTTTTCCTCATATTCAGGGCTCTCTGATGTCTGGCAGTAGTCGGTTGGTCTTAAGGTAGCCACACACATATCTATATGATCATATAAGGCCACTAAAATGATCTTTAGGCCCCATTCAGAGCTGCACAATGGTGTAGTGGTTAGCGCTTCTGCCTTGTAGCACTGGGGGTCCGTGGTTCAAATCCTTGTCACTATCTACAAGGAGTTTGCATGTGCTCCCTGTGCTTGTGTGGGATTCCTCCAGGAACTCTTGTTTCCTTCCACACTCCAAAGACATGCTGGAAGGTCCATTGATTGTAAGCTGCTAGAGGGAAAGGACTAATGCGGACTATGTAAAGTGCTGCGTAAATTGTCAGCACTATATAAGAATTACCACTAATTCACACTGGTCCAATGTGTTAATAGTGCCATTCAATGCAACGTACCTACAGTGCATGCACTCCTTTTTTTAATTGCATCACAAAGCACAGTATTGTGGTACCATATGTGGTGGCATGATCAGTCGCATTGCGGGTGGAAGGTGCATTTGGAGTGCCATTCTAATGAATAGCATCGCAACACACCTCCCGCACTATTAACGCGCAATAGATGCATTGTGCGGTACAGAACCGTGTAATTAACCAAGATCAATTAAATGATCTCCAGTAGGATCAAAAATTAACCCCTGCACTGCAAGGTTTAAGTGCTCATTGTGGTCTAGTGAATGGAAGAAAGAAGATACACTCACCTGATCCTCGGTCCTGCGGCGGTGACAGCTCAGCTCCCCCCCCTCCACTCCGGATGTGGAATGTCTTTCAGCATCTTCATGTCTAATACAAGTAAATGGACTATGATGATGTCACATGTCCTTAGACCGCTGGAGCCCGGGGGGAGAAGAGGTTGCAGGAACACGGTCTAGGAGCCCCGATGGGATCGAAGATCAGGTAAGTATATTATCTTTGTTTGCTACTCTAGACCAAAACAAGCAGTTACCCTTGAAATACGGGGGTAGCTGCATTGCAAGGGTTAACTTGTGAAAGTCCTGGAGTTCCACTTTAATATCCGTTACATGTATTACTGATTGTGTTTTTTTATTTTTTAGATATTCTCAGTTGATCACACAATGAGGATCAAGATTGTGTTTGATATTTGAATTGGTGATAGATTGCCTGCGAATGTTCATATCTACCGTGTTTCCCCGAAAGTAAGACCTAGTTCGGTGGTAGGTCTTATATTACAAACATGCAGTATCTCTACATGTATGGCCACCGTCACACTGGCAGATACAGGTAGATGTGCACACGGATATATTTATCTCTTGCTCAGATGCTGCCATGATAGAGGGGAAGTGAAATAAACTCCCCTTCCTAGAAGTTCCCAGATCGTCTCTCGGCACATCTGCTGAACTCGCACATTTTTATCGGGTTCATTCTTCAGCCGCTGGGTGTCAGATTCCTCAGCCTGGCGGATTTATGACTAATGTGACACTCGGCGCTCGGGGCCCCATTCATAAAAGAGATCACTCAGCAGGTGGCACGGCCATTGACATCTGAGGAGTCGGATGTTGGAAGGGAGAATACAATATACCAAGGGTAGGTAACCACAGCAATCCAGCTGGTGTGAAGATACAGATCTTATCTTGCCACTGGAAGGCATGGCTGTGGCTGCCAGAGTCTTGCAGTGTCTCGTGGGACTTGTAGTTCCTCAACAGCTGGATGCCAAGATTGCCTATTTACACAATACAGTGTGTGAAGATTTCCAACTCCTTTAGTAAGTCAGTCTCAGTATCTGCAAAGGATTTGTTAACTTAACGGAATTAATATTTTTTTTTCTCTGCACCTGTCACATTCTGTTTTCTTATTGGTTGTCATTATCATAACGCAATGAATTACTTTGTAACTTTGCAGAACTAGAATTGGTGACTCCGCCTCTAGATGGAATCATTCTACCTGGAGTTACAAGGCGCAGTATACTAGACCTCGCCACCAAATGGGTGAGTACTGATCTGTATGGAGCAGTGCCGGGACAAGGGGCTCTGGCACCCAAGGCGAGGATGCCAAAGTGTGCACAAACCCCCCACCCACCACCACCACCACAAAGGAGAAGTATTGGGAGAGTAAACTATGCTCTTCCCAATACTTAGAGCCAATGTGGGCCACTGCAGCTGTCACACACCGGCTCTATAGATCGAGAACTGAGCGATCACAAACCGCTGATCACCCAGCTCACAGCTTCTCCATGCAGAGAACAATGGCTGTACGGAAAACACTGAGCCAGTCACATCAGTTTCTGCACCAAAGAAGCTTACATTCTAATGTTCTCTCCACAGTCACACTTGTTATTATCACGCTATTATTATTATTATACATTTACAGGTGAAACTCGAATAATTAGAATATCGAGCAAAAGTAATTGCAGTAAGTGCTGCAAAAGGGGTCCAAACCAAGTACTGAGTACATATGCATGCTTGTACTTTTCAGAGGTCCGATATTGTTCTATGTACAATCCTTGTTTTATTGATTGCATGTAATAATCTACTTTTTTGAGGTTGTGGATTTGGGGTTCTTGGGGTTTTCATGAGCTGTAAGCCATAATCACCACAATTATGACAAATCACGGCTTGAACTATCTTGCTTTGCATGTAATGAGTCTCTCTCATATATTAGTTTCACCTTTTAAGTTGCATTAGTGAAATAAATGAACTTTGCACGATATTCTAATTATTCGAGTTTCACATGTATATAGCTGACATACACTATAGTGCTGTACAGAGAACACAGAGCCAGTCACATAAGTCCCTGCACCAGAGGAGCTTACACTCTAATGTCCCACCACAGTCACACACTATTATTATACATTTATAAAGCTCTGACATACACGATAGTGCTTTACAACGAACACAGAGCCAGTAATATCAGTCCCTGCACCAGAGGAGCTTACACTCTAATGTCCTCTACCATAGTTACACACTATTGTTATTACATATCTATATAACTCTCACATATACCACAGTGCTGTACAGAGAATACTGATGACCCCTAGTGGAAGTCGCTCTGTGTAATATTGTGATTTCTGAACACTCCCAGTCTCTGTGATCCTAAAACCGGTATGGCTGACTGTCTATATAAATGGAATGGTTTTGTATGAACAGCATTATATCTGTACTTATGTATGTACGATTCACAATTCTGGGTTCTGTTATTGCATACCAGGGGGGAGAGGGGTGACCGTACTGTTAATAGATAGAAAGGTATGACGCCAGTTATTTTAAAGTGAAGATCCCCTTTAGGTAATGTTTGTGCAGCTCTTTACAAAATGGAGGGAGACAGTACAATTACAATACAATTTCAGTACAATAGGGTTAGGAGGGCCCTGCTCGTGAGAGCTTACAATGTAGTTTTATCCTAAAACCAGAAATCATCGAGCAATATTATTCTAAATTCGGGAGGTGAGACTCGAATAGTTATGAGAGTCCTCATATGAAATATGTTTTGTGCCTTTTAACAGGGAGAGTTTAAGGTGACTGAGCGTTACATCACCATGAATGATCTTCTAACGGCATTGAAAGAGAACCGGGTGAAGGAAATGTTCGGTGCCGGCACAGCTTGTGTGGTTTGTCCAGTTGGAGCTGTCCAGTACAAGGGCGAGGTGAGACTCAGCTGTCTGCGCTTTGATAGAGATTTAGTAGTAGATATAGTTGGTTTGTCTGATATGGGCACAGCTTACCATGTGAAATTGTAGAGCTTCTCAATCTGTGAGCACAGGAGGGCTTTTATTTTCTGCCCAGTGTATAGCTGAGTGCATGCCATCCATACACCATTCCTGCCACTAGATGGAGCTAAGGTGCATAGGAAATTCCTATACTCCTCAGCTCCATCTAGTGGCAGGAACGTTTATATATCAGTCCCATGGTAGTTTTTATGTATTTTTTACTTTTATTAATCCTTTGTTCATTATATTTAATCCTTTTTTATTACATTTTTATGCAATGTTTCCCTTTTCAGGTTTAATTTTTCTCTTAAAGCAAAACCCTGGAGAAAAGTTGTATTAACTAGGGATGCACCGATACTAGTATTGATATAGGTGCCAATACCGAGTATTTGGGCGATTACTTGTACTCGCTCAAATGATCCGATACTTATCCCAAAACTAGAACTTCTGGTCAGAGGGAGATTTCCTCTGACCGACAGTGCTGCGAGGGAACATGGAGCCGGGCCAATCAGGAAGTCGGGCTGTGGGTAATGACCCGTGGCCCCGGATTCCTGATTGGCTTGGAAGCCAGCTCCATGCTGTTTGGCTGGCTCCATGCTGATTGGCCAGGAAGCCGGCTTCACAGCTAATCAGCATCAAGCCGGCCAAACAGCATGGAGCTGGCTTCCCGGCCAATCAGGAAGCCGGACAGCGGGTAATGACCAAAAAAAACCAACTAATTTAAATAAAAAATTGTATTGTTAATCCCCTTTTCCAATTTATAAATAAAAGCAGACAACAATGAGCCTAACCTGCAGCATGCTGTATTTTTATAACAGGCAAAATGTTTTTAACCCTTGCATTGGGGCTTCCTATACACTGTATAGATCGTGATGACTCAGGGACCTTAGACCGCTGCAGCAGAGGAGGAGGGAGTCCCCAGGGACTGATCTAAGTATATGCCGGCTCTGATTTTTCAGCACCCAGGGAAAAACAAGTATTAAACCCTTGCAGTGCACGGTTGCAGTGCAGGTTAAGAAAATTTTTGCCCAGAGTTCTTCTCTAATGAAAGTGGAGAGGAATCCGGTGCAAGGAAAATGTCTATTGTATCAACATAGACAAAGCAGGTGAAGATCTGGCTGATGTTACAGATTACTTTGAAACAAAATGTTTTAAAATTATTAAAAGTAGAGCGAAAGAACAACATTGTGCGTATATACGTTCTAGGGATTCGGGATATTTTCATTTGTAGTTGTAAACAACATTTTTAAATCCATGTATTTTGGGTTTCCACAGAACTTACACATCCCGACAATGGAGAATGGACCTAAAGTTGCTGCTCGTCTATTAAAAGAGATGGTCGACATCCAGGTGAGTTAAAGCTCCCTTTGCGTCTGCTTAAGGGCCAATTCACACCAAATCCAGATCATCTCCAGACCAGACCAGATTGTTTCTGGACCCAAATGCATCCTAATGTATCTCTCTGCTACAGTATTTCTGGCCTCTGTTCCCACCAGCGCAGTCTATTCCAGACCAGACCAGACCAGAAAAATACTGCTTGTCTTATTTTGTCTGGTCTGGAATGCACACAGATCTGGTCCGGAAAATGGTGTGAACCTGCCCTCAAGGTAGAAACACTTTGCACAGTTTATGTTATCAGAACTCCGAGCTCAAAGACTTTAACTTAGATTCCTCACAATAGTCACAATGGATATAAATCCACTTTGTGTGAACCAAATGCCTTTGCAAAACCCTATCAGACCCCTAGTGTCACCTTTGCACTTCAAAGAAGCTATTCAAGCAAGACCTTGTTGAATAGTTTCTTTAGCTATAGAATATGCAGTCCAGTTTTGGGCACCAGTTCACAAAAATGATGTTGTGGAACTGGAGAAAGTGCAGCGAAGGGCGACTGAACTCATAAGGTTTTTTGGGACAGAATTGCTGATAAATACAATCTATCGTCTAAACTCATAAGAGGCATGGAGGAGCTCAGCTATGAGGAAAGATTAGCTGATCTGAATTTGTTAAATATAGTGAGCTTGGTGCCAAATTATTCACTTTAAGGTCACTGCAAAGGACAAGGGGGCACTCTTTGCGTCTGGAGGTAAAGAGGTTTAACCTTTGCATATGGAAATTTGGAATAGACTCCCCCAGCAGCTAGTTCTAGCTAGCTCGGTTAATTGTTTAAAAAAAATTCCTGACACTGTCGGGCTCTCGGTTTGTGACCAAGTGCCCGACTTTTCATAGGGGGTGACCCCAAAATGACTGTCAGTCATTTTGGTGTCACCCCCAATGGTGGCACCTGGGTGCGGGCCGCACCCACCGTGTGACGCCACTGTGTATTCCCAAATGCACAAAATATTACTGGATATTGAGTTGTTAGAGGTATATTAAGCATCAGAGATTGTTGATCCAGGGAATATCCGATCGCCTTATGGAGTCAGGAAGGAATTTTTTTCCCCTGTTGGAGCTAATTGAACCGTGCTTTATAGGGGTTTTTTCCTTCCTCTGGGTCAACAGTGGGCATAGCGTTCTGTTTAGGCTTTTCTTCTTCTTTTTTTTTATATCTCTATAGGGTGAATTCAATGGACTTGTGTCTTTTTTCAACCTGACTAACTATGTAACTATGAAGCGGCGGAATGACAGCTGAAAAGCCAGAAGTGATGTAATCAGCATTGCTTCAGCTTTATTCAGCGGGGAGGAGATTGGCGAACGGAAGTTCGGTGCTTTCTCTCCCCGTTTCCTGCCAACACCCAAGAAGCCATTCCCGGGCTAGAAGGAGGAACAGTGGAGCCCAGGAAGCAAGGCAGGGGTGTCAGGTGGGGAAGGGGGCACCCGTTTACCAGCCCGTGGAAGTGACCCAGTGGCATCTCAGCCATCAGAATCTCTTCCAGTGTGAAGTAGACAGTCCTATGCCTTACGTCGCTGGCAGCCAAAGAGTTAATCTACAGATTACAGTTAGGAAGGGGTTAAATGGAAACTATAATTTGGTCACATTTATTTGATGTATCTTTTTTTTAGGTTCAATAAATAGAATTCTATGTCGGGTTACCACTGTCATATTTTCGGGTCGGCTTCTTGTTTTGGGCAGCACAGTGGCGTAGTGTTTAGCACTTCTGCTTTGTAGCACTCAGGGTCCCAGCTTCAAATCCTGGTCAGGGACACAATCTGCAAGGAGTTTGCATGTTCTCCCTGTGCTGGCATGGGTTTCTTCCGGTTCCTCCCACACTCCAAAGACATGCTGGAAGGTTACTTGGCTCTTGTCTAAATTGGCCCTACTGCGCGTGTGAGATAGGGACTTTAGATTGTAAGCTCCTTGAGGGGTGGGGACTGATGTGAAAGTGCAACTATGTAAAGCGCTGTGTAAATTGTCGGCACTATATACGCACCAATAATAAATGGGTAGATTTTGTTATTTTCTAACTTCTTTTTGTATTGTTTGATTCCAGTATGGAAGGACGGAGAATTCCTGGGGCGTGGTGGTGGGCAGCTCCTAGACCTCCTTCTGAATCCTGAACACAAAGAACACAAGACATACAAGTATAGCCCGCTGTATAGTATTGCCCCGGTGAAATGTGGGTGTTGGTGTTCCAATCTGTGGGTTTAGCTCAAAGAAACCTTTTTTTTTTCCTAGCTGTAGAAATCTGTGAATCACCATAAGCACTTTTTTCCCCCCAATCATATCTTAAATGAAGTGTTATGTTGATGTCCACACACGAAGTATCCATCGGAAATGATCCTCCAATGCACCGTTATCAGGGCACGATGTGAAGACTCTTCAATGCTTTAATGTGGATCATTCAGGGTTTTTAGGCGTTTGGTGATCTGTTTTTATTTCATTGAGGTGAGAAGCACTTAAAAATGTGAACATTTCTGTATCCGAAGCAGCCGAACGGCGTTTTAATTCGGGTGTTTTATACTTCATTATCCGGTGAAGCACAAAGGTTTCTGAAGCACAAAGCTCTGCCAGAGAGCCGAGTCTATTACGTGGTGTGTATAGCTTTGGTATCATCATATGAGAAGGATGGCACTGCCGTTTAGAAATGCTTGGACTTGTAGTTCAGCAACAGCTGGATGACTCCAGTATTCCCCATTCCTCCAGTAATAATAAGACTATAGATCTAAGAGTTCCTGTCAGGACAGCCAGTACCTGCCATGACTGGGGACTCCGTCCAGCCATTGCCCAGATCCAGGGGGTGGTGCCTAGGGATGAGCGGAACCATTTAGATGATTTACTAATTTTCTGAGCTCGTAAATCTGAATGTCACTGATTGACCTTCTAAGGAGAAATATAAAGTA